ATATTTGTTGCTTATCATGGTATGGAAACTAATCTTGCTAATTCATACTAAAATGATGATTCACTGAAGTAGCTCGTTTGCATAGTCTATTTGATATCTATAATATCATGATAAAGTTGCAAGTATTTGCTAAATTTCACAACAACTTTTGTATAAAATAGTCACAAGTTCTGGAACTATAAGCGACGTTTTTTTAGAAATAATTTCTGTTGTATTTTATTGTGCTAAATGGGTGTGTCACCCCTGTACCATTTTTCATAATTTCTAATAATAAAGCAAAAATGAGACTTGTTTAAATTTGTGAACTTGTAGAAATGACGAATTCATTTGATTCTAATGACTTATTTCAAAAATCTACAATCAGTTCCAGTGCTACAGTTAGATTTAGAAATAAAAATACAGGTTAGTAAAAAATGCTGAATACAAATTGTTTCTTTTTGTATGCAGAACAAAAAATTTTAAGATTTACCAGGAAAAGGCAAAGAACCAGTTATGCCTCTGCATTAGCATTTCCAGGATAATGATCGGCAAATAATGATTTCAAACATAGCAAATCTTCTAGAGAACGTATCGTTGACGAAAGATGAAATTTATGGTTCATCGACTGATGCAAATAGAAATAACAACGGCACACAGATAACTGATATTACGAGTTTATGTACACGTCAGTATCGTACAAAGCAAGAAATATACGACGAAATTGTATTTGAATGTGCTGAGATCGAAAGAAATAAGGTTATTAGAAAAAATTGTTCTCAGATTAAATCAGTTCTGATTTGAAGGTTTAAAGCTGGATATCATTGAAAATTATCGAATTATTATATTTTTGATTAGCTAGCACTTTTCAATTGCGTTAACATTTGTCATTATTTTTATTTTAACACTGATAACAAAAAAATTAATTTAGTACTGGGAATCTTTAACGCAGTTATCACAGGTTGGATTGGTATCAAATCGATCTCAAACAAGAACTGTGGCGTGTTCAACTAATGAATTCAGAGATTTGATGAGAAGCTCATGCACTACAAATCCATATTTATCAAGAGCATATGACAACAACATGACACTACAATATCTTATACAATTGTTAGTAACAGTTGCACGCGAACACGAAATTTGGAATGATGAAAACGGATCAAATTCACCAGAATCTTTATTGCAACGTAAAAGGTTGCAGGTAGGTTTGATAAGAAGGATATTTGGTCTCTATTCTAACGACATCAAGAAATGCGGAAGCACTTTGAGGTTAAAATATATTCTAATAACATTTTACACAAAATGAGTAACTATGTCCATTATTGTTGTAATAAATATACTTTATTAAGGTTATTTATAAATTTAATAAATATGACGTAGATGAAATAAGCATTACATAGTACTTCACATAAAGTACTGTGCTATGCATGGGTACAAAACCGTACTTTTACTTAAAGTTCAATTGGACGCTATCAAGAAATCTTTTAAAACCAATGTCTAATTCATACCTTAAAAACTTTTTCTCTAAAATTTAAACCCTTATTCGATTCCTTTTCTGGCTGCTACATGCTCTTTATTTAATCTCATTTCTGAATGCTTTTTAAAAAGAATATGTTTTAAAGAGAAAATTTTATTAATAATAAAGCAAAAATCTATTTTTGAGTGTTTTTATATGTAGAATAGAGAAGCAGCAACTCGCTATCGAAAACGACAAAAAGAGCTAAAAGAGGAGGCAGAACTAGAATTGACTGTACTAGTCAGCAAAAACAATGAATTGAAGTATGAAATCAAACAAATGCAGTCTGAAATCGAACGATTAAAAGCACAAGTTCTGCGTGCAATCAGTTAAAAAGAGAAAAATTTAACTGCAATTCGTTTCAAGTACTTGCTTTACAGTAATCAGTAGTGATTTGTATTTGATATTACATTTCATTCTGTTGAAAAAAGTGTACAGATTGTGCGTAAAATAAAAGAATCCAATGAATTAATAACTTATATTATATTATGCGCATTACTTTAAACGAAAATAGAAATTGCACATTATATTTCTGATGCACTTTCCCATACAGCAAGTATTTCTAAACTAGTCAATCTGTATATACATGAATATACCGCAAATCACTTTTAGCAAAAATCCTGCCTCATGTCGACTGGACCATGTGTAAAAAACTTGGAAAGGTTTGATATGAAAAACAGTTTGTCACACATATTATTTCCAGCCAGACGAAACATAGGTGATTTGTAGGTGGATGAATTTTTGGTAAGGATATAAAAACAAAACCATGTTTACACAAAACAATAAAAACACGTGGTACCGCTCCACTTTAAAAAAGTAGACTGAAGGGAAGATGGGTGCAATAGTCAGCCATAGCCATAATACTCAACTGCCAGTTAGTTACTAATAGTTTCAAAGTTTAAAGTTTTAGTTGCAGTCAAGAATGAAATCTTACTACATATAGCTCTCATTTCTTATAAGTGCTTGGAGCAGCAGAAATTATCCCCTTCAACGCAGATTCATACATAAAAGCACAATCGAGACCTTATGCGTGTCTTCCGTGTGTTACCTAATTCGTAGATAACAAAATCTTTCCTGATTATAATGCGAACTTTTAATTCAAGAAAGCAGCAGTTTATTGCTCATGAACATCGTTAGTATACTGAGCATATTTTTTGCATTAAATGAAAACCATAAGTGACATAAAAGACACATTTTTTCTAACTTTTCATCTTCTGATCAGTAATACTTAAGCAAGTAATGCAGATATCTAACAGCAAATAGTCAGTGGTAACAGATTTGATAAACATGAAACTCTCCATTTATAGCGAATATGAAACAAGTTGTTTATACAAGTAAACCATGAAAAAATGACGAGTGAGAAAGTAAGTGCACAAGGAATATTTTGAAGTGAATTGAAGTATACCCATTGATAAATAAATATGAACAAGAAGCGTATGGAGAAGAATTACAATTGATGAATAGCAAGTTCAAAGAAATTAGTACAGTTTTTTTGCAGAGTATAAGATCTATTTGAGAAATTATAGACGGTGGATAATGAGTATATAAAAGAAAATACGAGCTAAACATACTACTGCAGCGCAACCGATAACAAAGCAAGACGATTATTTGCAAAATGAAGATTTGAATAGACTGCAGGACATACGGAAAAGAATTACTATCGATGTATAAAATTATGTATCCGAGATATATTTAAAAAAAGACTTTTATTGGGGAGAAAAATTAAAAAGATTCCATATCTGGTTTCCTCGAAAATTAATAGAAAAATGAATGAGGACTAAAATCATCTTCAACAATTTACAAAAGTTATTTCACAGCTTCTTTCTTAGAATTTAGCTGCCAAAGAGATACAGTTGCATCACTGAAAATAAAGCATTGTAATTATAGCTGGAATCCATTTTTTTGGTAATATTTTCTTAATCAGCAATTATTAAGAATTATAACAAGAAAAAATTCTTGCATTAATATTATACGTATTATGCGGCAAATTTAAAGCATGTCAATACTCTGGAATTCTAAAATTAGTCTTACTTTCTACTCAGAAGCCAACTTATAAAAAAAATTTGCAAATTCAAATGAAAATTTATGAAATGCAGCAACATAGAAGCATCTGAACTTTTGTTTTTCTATCGATCGGAACAATTCTGAATCATAAAAATAATTAAACACCTACTTCGAAGCTGTAAATAACATGCTCGAATACGTTGCTATTTCGTTGATTGCTCCGTCATGAGCATGATCAATCTAGAAATGTTGCAAATGGGTAATTATGTCAAGAGCTGCAAATGGGTAATTATATCAAAGTTGATATAAATTTTAAAATAATGAAAACACAAAATATGAAGACAAAAACTGAGAATCACAATAAAAAAGAGATTCATTGTGAAACAACCTCGTAAAGGAGGCGTAATTTACGAGTACTAGTTATATCCCATAATTTTATACGTGCTTCTTTACAAGCTGTAACCAATAATGGCTTATCCGCTTCTAGAATACGCATCGACTGTATCCATTTATTGTGAGCTTGCAACTCTATATGATCCCGCTTCATATCTTGCAATGAAAAACGCATAATCTCCTATAAAATTAAAATCAAAAATACTATAACATAATCACAAAAGAAATGTTGAGCTTAAACAATGTAGCAAAGATACTTCTATAGTAAAATGATGAAAAAAATAAATAAACAAGCTTATACAAAATTTTCTTTCAATACCGAAACAATACATAAGAAAACAGTTTCTTTTTAAAAGAATATAGTTGAGAAATAAAAATAATGAACAATATAAATTTCGTTCGGAAAATCTTGCCAGATTTTTGGATGCAGAGAACAAAACATCGCCATAAGGAAGAAGGGATGTAATGCATTCATGATGAGCTGATGAAAATTCATGAGCAGCTTCGAAAAGACCCAATCCATCAATGTTGATTTCATACATTTTAAGACGGTGGTCACGAGATCCAGTAAAGATTCTTGGTCGCACGCCATCCAGAAATCCCAAACACGATATTTCAGATCTAGATTTTGTTCATTTGATGTTTATCAATATTCCATAAACACAGATTAATGTTCTGTCATAATAAAAAGTGCTTTCTGTCGCAGTATCAACACTTTTCGGTCACACATTTAAAACAAAATGAATACAAGATGTACTAATAATTAATCCAAAAAATATAAATATTAAAGTGTATATATTAAAACTATGCTTATAATACTAGTTTGAGATAATTGTAAACGATAGACTTCGTCTGATTTGCGGATCCACACATCATTTACTAGCTATTTCTAGTTTACACTTTTGTTCTATACGTATATATAATGATGATATTAGTAAGACCGTATTATGGACACGAAAGGCGAATTAAAAATATTTTTTAATCATTTACTAATGCAATCAGTTGTAACAGTAATAGCAATAATACCAGTGGTCAAAAATGTCAAATGGTGGAAATGGTAGTAATAGGATAGAAAAGTCAAGCTTCTCTTCAAGTTAATGACTGAGATCGCAAGCCAGCTTCAATTGACACAACAATGCTTTGAAGCAATAAAAACGAGGCGATAAAAGTCCAGTAGGGTGGAGGGCAAGCGTAGTAAAGAATATAAGCTCGAATAACTTACACAAAATTTTCATTGAGTGGTATTTGGCCACTGGAACCTTAAAAGTAAGAACCTAAGAAATATACAAGGTAACATAATCTTATGAATTAGGCGCAGTACCGCCAATCCCCCCTGGATAGAAATATGTTGCGCCTGAGAAAGTTATGTGCCCACATTTTAGAGAACGTGTAAAGACAGTGGACCATCTGGCAAAGTAGTGTGAGAAAATGTCCTACCATGACTACACTAGAAGTCAAAATGATGTGTTGCGGTGTATCCATTTGGGACTTTGCAAGAAATATAGTCAGAAAACGTTTCCACACATGCGAAGTCAGGAGATCGTCGCAAATGAATATCAGAACAGCTATAAAGCTAAGTGCTGATCGACTGGATATCATGATCCACAATAAAAAGTGACATGAAGTAATCTTGACAAAGGTTGGCATTACTAGCCAGGACAGGTTAATTGCAGTAGAGACCGAAAAAAGGCAAAAATATGACATATATGACATACTTGCTAATAAACTCAAGGCAGAGATGAACAAAAATAATTCCGTATGTAATGACTTGGAATGAAATTGTAACAAACTTCTATAAATGCTATGTGAAGAAAATCGGTATATCTAATCATGTCGAACCATATACTCAAATGACAGTGCTCAAGAAGACAACCGAAAGCATCTTATTCGAGCACCGCCGTGGATTCTAAGAGGTTGAAGCATTTGATATTAGCCTAAGAAATTTGAACATGAGACAAATACAGCCAGAGCATCGGAATACGATTCAGCGCCAGAATCAATATGACAGAAAAGAACATTAACTTCCGTATGATATTGATTTGGTTATTAAAACAATTATTGAAATATTTTAAAATGCTTACTTGGAACTTTGAGTTGCTCCCGAGAGACGACCAAATGTAGCAAACTTTTCCAAATTCCAGATACGTACATCATTATTAAACGTTGTAAACATCAATCTGTAAAAACCTATCAAGATCAATGCATTCAAGCTCTGCATGTATTTGCACACAAAACACTTTTGTTTCCTAAAAATCGAATGGGACTGATCAACAATTTTCTACAATTCACTCAAACATTCAAGAAAAAGCGTGGCATACTTTCCTGAATTATCAAGTTGCACTGCATTGATAATTGCTTCAGACAAAGGCAATACATGCGTTCGTGGTGTATCTACATCCATGATATCTCCTGGAAAAATGTATATCACGCATTTAAATTTAGACCAGCAATACAGAAAAGATGCGAAAAATGAAATAAAGTGCAATAATTGAAATTTTTGAAATCCTAATCTATTTAAAATATTTTTAAAAATTTAGAATTAAGCAATCGTTAAAAACAGCTTATACAAACCGACATCAGCAAGACCAGATGAATGTAGTGTACGTACACACTGTTCACTTCTTAAATCCCAAATTCGAATAAAAGATAAAGAAACAGTTAGCGCCATGTGACTGTTGGGAATGAAGCGAACACATGATACACTGTTAGGATGATGGTGAAAAGAACATTTTTCAACACCTTTTTCCAGATCCCATACTTTGGCAGTTCGATCTTAAAACATAAAAACCATCTGATTCATGATACCGATTACGGACTCCGATTAAATCTATCATTATGAGGAGCGTTACGCAGTAATTTTATGCAAAAACTATTTTTTGAATTGCAAAAAATAGCACACCTTTGGAACCACTAATCACTGTAGTGCCAGTAGTATCCACCGAAAGAACGGTCCTCTTATGTCCATTCAAAATATGAGTACGCACAATTAAACCCGAACCACTTGATACTTCAGAAGTTCCTGTTGCCCAAGAGTTATACGGAAAGGACTGCCCAATCACTCTGAAGTGTGCATTAATTTTTTAACTTCAAGTCATATGAACTAGTTTGCAGCAAATATCAAAACCCAACTTGTAATTTCCACGACTGGATGCTGTCCATGGTTCTAATGAATGCCGATCACTCAAATCCGAATCCATCGAATTCTTTACTTCGCATTGACCTTGATTTTCAGAGTTTTCGATAAATAATCTACCATGTGAAATTTCTGTATTTGTCAGAGTATGCTCTGTTGATGAATCTTGCTCGGACATTGGTAGAATTCTTTCGTTCAATTGCTTCAGTATTACTCCCTCTTCGTTAGTCACATCACTTATCGTTTCTGACAATGAATACAGCAATTCCCTTGACGTGGCTGTACGACGACGAACCTTCTGATCACCATCAGACAGCAGTGGTGCTATAAAACTATTTTCTATAGACGACGGTTATTTTAAAAAAGCATATCACGAACACAATAAAAAGTTTTCTTATCAAGAAAAATCAAATAACCTCGATTGAAGCAAGACACCGAATTATCTCGATAATTCCATGATTCTTGATTTCTGCAGCTCACATCCGCACCCTCAATGTTTTTCGAAGATTCATACATGACAAGGGAAACTTCATCCGATTCCTTTTAAAGAAAGGACCTTATTAACAGTCGACAACTTGCATGAGATATCCAGAACAAACACATCTTAAAAATAAAATAAAATGATATTTGCTATTTTCTCAATAATGACTGATGACTCTTGAAGACACTCACAGATAAGACTTCTTTCGGTGTTTGTCTCAAATTTTCTTCATTTGCAAACGAATTCTGTAATCTCTTGCCCAATACTTCCAATTCCTGACAGGACAAAATGTCAAGATACTAGGCTGGAGAAAGATATATTTAGAAAATCGGATTAAATTGCAACTTAAAAACGTCAGTAAACAGATGCATTTTGGAAGAGATTTTTTAAAAGTGTATATTGATTCCTACCACAATTTTGAGGAAACAGAAATGCCTCGCAAGATTTTGTTAGCACAATATTTTTGACAAATTAAAAATCGTAAGCCAGAAAGCACAAAAGAACGACTGAATTTAAAAAGCTGTGTTAGATATAACTTTAGTTCTTCATTTTTTTCGCTGTTATAACAAATGATATGAACATCTCATTAGAATTATTGTTAATAGATAATACAATGGAATCTATCTTAAGAATATTCATTTCTTTGCATAGCTTTAGAATGTTTATTTTCAAAAAAATTTGATCTACCAATGGGTTTCCTTCCGCAATAGGCAAAACTTCATTTAATTGTTTCAACATCTTTTTCTCATCATCTTTCATCATTTTTGGTAATGGATACAACAATTCTCTAGGTGTAGACGTGCGACGACGAACCTTCTGATTTTCTACAAGAAACTATTGATGTCTACAATACATTGATGCAACGAAGTTATTTTTAAAAGCGATATGGTGAGCAAAAACTTTCAAGCTACAGACAACGAACCATCATCTCCACTAAGGCAAGTTACCAAACCATCCTTCGATTGCTCTGATACTTGATTTCCGTGGTTCATATCGACAATTTCATTGCCTTGAGAAATTGGGAAACCAATCATAACATCAATCGCATCATTTAATTCCTTTTAAGATGGAAAATTAACAGCTGATAACACATGTCTAAGAGAGATCTACAAAATATCACTTCAAAAAAGCCAAAAAATAGCATAAACCCTCTTTAAAATTACTATTAAAAGCTTTTAACACCCTTACGAATTCAGCTTCTTTTGATGTCACCTTCAAATTTCCTTCACTTATAACTGATTTCTGCATTTCTCGAATTAGAACTTCCATTTCCTGGTATGATAAAATGTTAGCATCACAAGCCAAGGATAGGAAAATGTCACATTACAGACGCTCAATATACTGGCCAAAATATCAAGTATATGACATAACATTAGGACACGGCATTAATTTTAAGAGCATCGAATTTTTCGTAACGTTGTTTCAAAAATAAAAATATCGTACAAAACGAATAGTCTAAAAACATGCTCTAGTTTGTACTTGACATAACAGAAATATCACAATAAATTTAACGTGTAAAAACTGGAAGTACTTGAACAGTTTCACTAACCTTTTTCTCATCGAAAGCTTTAGCTGCGATGAATCCCTGTTCCAAGGAGAAGGCAAACAAACGCTTAAGAATGAATATTGCCTCATTAATATCTGTACAATGTGACAATTCCAATTCTGCATCATGACAAGCTTCAGCATCAGCTGTCCGCGAATCCTAAAATTAAGCGGAAATCACATCATCTATTGTGTTCAGCATGTAATTAAATGCTTTCCCACAAAATCTTTTCTCACACTTTAAGAAACTAGACTATAATGGCAGAAATATCAAAAAGGAGGTTAAAAGAATTAAGCAAGAATGCACTCACAATCTATAATGCAGTGAATGCAGTATCTGCTTATTACTGCTTTAATGATGTTGTATCTTGATAAATTCATTGCACTCAATAGTTTATGAGACAATTTTTTTTAAAGTAAATGTTAACACAATTACACAAGTATTTCAAAGTGAGAGAAATGCATAAGTGGAAATAAAACGGATGAAATATTTTGGAAGAATTGAAGTAATTTTGAGGACTACATTCAGAAAAAGAAAAAGGAAGAGATTTAGATTTCCAAGCTTTCACTAGAAATATGAAGAAAAATGTATTTCTAAGTCTAGCTTATCTTTCAAAGTTGATTTTTATATCACTCATACCAATTTACTTTCGTGATGTTAGTTTGAAAATTATTCCTGACTTTGAAGACAATTTTTATGATGTTTTTGGTCAGTTTTTCAACAGCTCAATGTACCAATACATACATGCTAGCAAAAAATAACGGCCGACAATTTCTCATATTCATCTCAGCTGTCATTATTACTAATACTTTGAAATAAACAATAATTTACTGCATAATTAATACTAAGAAATAGCCTCAGTTCCACCTACTTTCATGTTTTATTTTCCAGTTTTAAATACGAATGAAAACACTGATAAACACTTTCAGTTTGCATGCTGCTTCTACAACCACCACAATCACATGTCAGCTTTCTTTATTCAACTTGACAATTATCTGTCTACTGGTATTCCCAACTTCTATAATGCAGCATAACTTAAAATTTTTGCACTACTTATTACTGAGTAGATATAACCATTTAAAAAAATTTTGATCTGATTCTTTGATCACTGCCCAAATAAATCAGCTAACTGTCGCTTCCTTTGTATAAATTTTGTATAAAAAATGGTATAAAAAATTTTCACAAATTTTAGCACAGTCGAGAAATACGAACTATGACTGATCACCAAGCACTGCTCATAAATTATGCAAATGAAGTACTTCAATTTAAAAAGTATGTCCAAGAGATATATGACGTTTACATTGGCAAGATTGCATCAAATCATCATACATTTATTCATTTAACAAAACTTAAGGAAGTTAAAATCAAACTAATTTTACGTTTATTTGAAAAAGGAAAACTTGAAATATGGATCACTCTTTCCATCCTGCTTGGGGTCAAATATACTCTAATTCTACTTATACAATATATGTCAACAGAAATGGCAAAATGCAGTTCACAGGGAGCATCAGTTTTTATTTTTATAGTTCTTTCTCCTTTCTTATCTATTTCTTACCACAATAAACAAAAAGCATTTTATCGATGCATGCAAATGAAAAAAAGTGATGAAGAAAAAAGCTAAAAGTATTTCAGAACTGATTCACACGATACTTGAGTAAATGTGAACTAAACTGAATACTTCAATCACTGCAGCTCTGATGACCTACCATGCCATGTTGCACAACCGTGGTTTCTTTCCCTTCATACAAGGAAAGATGTATCAAAATGTTATGCTTCATTCTCAAATAATTTATCATCTGAACACAGCTTCCTCTTTCCCTTCTGCAAAGCAACATCACAGATAATCATTGACTGCAGAGCGTGGCATTCTTTTTCTATATCACACTGTCGAGCAACCTTCATTTCAGTTCTAAATGCTAACTGTTGCTTGACGTGAGAATCAGATACCTTTGTTAATAACTGCTTTCAGTTAGAAAACTAAGTATTATTAAAGGAAAAGATGACAAAAATAAGCACAATGCTAATGCAGTAACAATTTTGAAATGCGATAGAGCACCATTAACTGCTGCTAATCATTTACTGCATACTTCGATTGTGCACAAAAAGTATAACTGGTAAAACTCACCATTACTGTTTCCTTTCAGACAACAATTGCTTGCAAACTTAATTTATTTTTCAATTTGCGCTAGTTGTTAACAGAGTTAAATAAAAAGTAATAGTGCAAACTTGTTGATGAATAAAAATGACAACCTATATGACTAAATAAGAGCTTAAAAATGAAATGCAATTGTCATAAATCATAAAACCTTCCATCCTCAAAAAAGTTTAACGTAAAGCTACGATTTTCCATTTTTCAAACATGCGAAATGAGGAAAAACGTTTTTCTCATGTAACTTTAATTAAAGGACACAGATAACATGTTACGACATAGCAGTCCTTAAAAATAAAAATAGTCTAACTTTCATTTAATCACTAATATTATTTGCTGATTGCCGAATGAGTTCATGCTTGGAAAATATCCTACTTAAATTTACAAAACAGATCCTTCAAGATTACTTCTTTAGGAAATGGCATCTGCATTTGGTATCAAGCATAGCCTCCAAACATTTCATTTCAGTTCTCCAACAACTTTAGATTGCACAATTTTTCTTCTCTTCGTCATGCCACTTCCTCCACTCGTAGTTTTTGCTCTTTCTAATTAAACAAATATTTTATTATTTATTGCAAGCTTTCTACTTTATAGCAGTCTCAAGAGATTAAAACATTCCAAAGTTTAGGATTCTTTTTATTCTACTTCAATTCCTACTTTCTAATGCACGTATCTGAAGTCACCCTATTATGCTATGAATGCAATTATTTCCTAGAAAGTGAAATACGCCAGCAATTCTTCCTCACTGATCTAGCTATATTATTCATCAAAAAAACTGATCACTTCTACTGTGCTAACTTTGAACTCTTCAAATAACATAAATCTGGTTGTAATTTTTAAGTTTGCAAGTTATGACAGTTTTTGAAGATTTTATACATCAGTATAACCCTGTAATTTTTATACTTAAAAGACAGCATTTTTAAAATTATATAATATGGTTAAGGTTCTTTGTAGATGACATCATATTTAGATATTTCATTCATCGAAATTCAATGGAAAAGAACTTCATTAACCTTTACAATAATATAATCCTATATTTGATTGTTATGACACCCTATCTCTTAATTCGCATAGAAATAACGGTATTCAAATATTCGCAACACAATAAATTACTCGTGTAGTTTGTTTAAGTTGTCAATCCAGTTGTCGTATTGATCAGTAAGTGTAAAATAAAGATCGTACAGTTATTAACAGATGCAGATTGGGAAGATGAATTAATTTCATTGTTTTCAAAGTTAAACTGACATGAACTTTTAATTACCAAATTCCTTCTCCATTGAATGCATCCTTTATTTCTATCTATGCTTTATTAAGACCAAAACGAATTTCGCTTTCTAACATTTCCTTTGAGCTCTTTTAGTTCCAAATACAGCATTACTTTTTATTCATTGCAGTTGGATGCTCAAGCAAAGCAAGCCTCCTTAGACAAACCATTAATTCATTGGTAATATCCATTAGCATGGTCGTTCAATTTTTCGCACTTCAACAAGTAAACCCACAGAAATGAAATGAATAGAGTTTGAGAGCACTATGTTTAGGTCCAAACATATAAAAAACTCTTACTCACTAATAAAAATGATTGAAGGCCCCTTCGAAACCAACTCAAGCCTTCAATATAGTGTTAGACGATTTTCTTATCTTCACCTCATTTACATGAGACAACTTCTTCCGCCGAAATATTTGTTCCACAGATTCGCATCTCAATCAATGTTTCATTACTTCATATTATATCACATCTGTACGTATGCGGTTCTCTAATTAACTTATTTATGAATTAGCAAAACTAATCAGTTTGTCGTGAGACTAATCATATTTGTATTGAATTACGCAATGAACGAGGTATGCTGCAGAGTCACTAACAAGATCATGTTTGGGTCAAAAGAAGAAATAGTCATCTTTTTTAGGTGGTCAATTGATTTCCTGCAGCATGACCCAGAGTGTTAACGTTCGCAAAATACGTGAGAGAAATAATTGTGAACCATGCTTACATTCTGCCATATGTTATTATTTTTAAATCAAATTTCTTGGTTGAGGTAGAGTGTAATGAGGAGGAAACGGGAGTCTTTAAACTAAATAAGAGAAAACTCAAGTACCAATGGAAGTTTAAAAGAAAAAGAAAACAGCCTAATCATGAATTACAAGAACCATCTCTTCATATATGTGTACGTATATGAAAGTTAGTTTTTGTAGATTAGGAATGTGATATGTTAGAATCATTTTTTCCTCATCATTGATTCAATCACTTGACTACGTATGTAAAAACGCTGGCTGCTTGGCTTGCTAGTAAAATAATTTGAAGGTGTGAGAGTTACTTTATTATTTCAAAAGTCAACAATAATGAATGCGAAGCGCTTCGTACTACTAAATTCATCAACAATACCAATAATAGCAGATAGTACGACTACGATCAGCTTTATAATCATCATTCTACGCAGCAAATTCGCTCATCAATAATACTACCATTGTATGCAACGAATTCTTGATGAATCTACTACTCAATTCATTCATTTAGGTGAGAACGCGAAGAAGCAGTGCACATTGGGTTAAGTAAATAAATAATTATAAGCAATCAAGATGCAACGAGCAAGTGCAATAATTCTTATCCTTTCTGATTGCAAAATGGGTTTTATTAGCGTCATCAATTAAAGTCATTGTCATGCACGCATCCATCACTTAACTTTCTCCCTCTCTTCTCATATTTTCAATTTAAACCAGCAATGCTGAAAAGCTGGCTCAAGCAGCACTGCTTCCTTCGTGCCTCACTAATGAAAGAAACAATCATGATTTAAATTCTAACCAAGCATGCTTTATTGCCTATTTGCCTTCCTACTTGCTTGTGCGTACGTGCGTGAAATCTATCATTAAAATTTCAACGACTGCACCGCAAATAAAGTAAAAGTGTTCATATATTCCTTACTACTCATATGCACAGCAATGTCCGGCAATCACAAATCATTTTATATTTCTCTTCCTACTCTTTTATTATTTCTCATATATTCACATTGTTGACATTCTAGTTGATCCTTCTACAGCTACTGCTACAGGAAGCAGCTTACTTTTGTTACCTCTTTCAAACATCAACTAAACACCTCTTGGCATACATCTTTAACACTGCTTACCTATTTTAAGTACATGAAAGTTCATTTACTTACCAGTACTATATTATCAACTATAAAATGTAACAATGTAATTCAACATCTATCAGTAAAAAATAATAATTACTTTTTTTACCTACTTTTCTATTTACAAGTGATATAAATATACTTCACATGACTCAATCAAATCCCACTCTGCATGATTATATAAATTATATTATTAGGAATGCATTGAATATTCAGCAAAATCTCAGACAAAAAATTCTTTGTCATTTTGCAGGCACAACTTAATGATAAATATAATTCATCAAATACGCACAAATTTTGCCAAACTTTGCCCAAAGGTGTCACATCCTTCACAATGTTTCTTCTTAATTTATCAAGATCACTCAGCATACATGTAGGAACATAAAAATGAGACAGCAGATAGCATACAGACAAGCGACCGAAAATGCCAGCAAACAATGGACAATACCTTAACAGTGTTGCAAAGCAAATGATGAATTTTAGAGTGCGATGACCATTTAAATTTTGCTATGATTCACTATCACTACCATAATTACTGATAGCGAAAATGAAGTGCCATAACAGAAATACGATGCGATGCAAGAATAGTGCAGACACAGCCATTACTGTTGTCCATCAAACGTGATGCATGTATAAGGAAACTAAAATTGTTACTTAAAATAAGCCACATGCACATTTATAGTTATTCTAACAAAACTGTTGCGCCTTATTAAGCTACAACAAATCCTGAACGAGTTAGAGAGGACAGTTGTACAGAAAAATGCAACGAATGGAAATGAAATAAAAAACCGCTAAGAAAGAAATAAATCATTGGGAAAGTATTATTGTGGATTGTTTTTGGCTTTTCTTTCTGGCTGATGGCTTCAACGATTCCACCTCTTCATTTCTTCTTCATCACAGACACCTATAATACACTCACGTCTCCTACAAACCCACATTCCGACCATTTAGTTATTTTCGAAGGCGACTTTTACTTGACTGCTTCAATTTCCATCTATCGATCGCAAAATGAACAAATTGAAGTTTGTTCATACCCAACCCTGCTCTCAAAATATCTTCCCACATTTTCTGTTTGTTTCCCGTAAACCTACTTTATCCATACATTTCATTTTTCTTTTGCAATTCCTCCTACTTATTAGAATCCTTTTGCCACTCTTATAACCTCATTAAACACGAATTCGAAACGTTGCTTGGATGTTTATGAACTGTTAAAAGTCCCCACAAAAGTATTACATATATCAATGGATATTGGAACCAGACAAACAATTAACGACTGACATGAATGCAGTCTCACATCTCTTAATCACTTAACAATTACTGCTTCTACAAACCTTATCCGATAGGTAATTAGAGTAATAATTATGCATTAATTCCCTAACTCTTAATCTTACAGACCTCATAAACCTAAAAATATAAAAACCTCCCAAATATAATAAAACACTCTTTGCAATACTCTACTGATAAGCAGTTAGTGGTAATTGAAACAGTTGCACTTGACTTCTACCAAACTAACACATTTAATTTCACTTTTCTAGTGAAGTAGCTTTGTAACAAAACTTTACTTTCTGGCTTATTAACAGCGACTTCAGTTATTCCTTTCCGTCTATTTCCTTCATTACTTACCTTCATAGCATACTATTTCCGACCGTACTAGTTCATCTCTGCGAAGACTATGTTTTAAATCCCGAGACAGTACTGATATTTAAGAGTAATTCATTCTCCCTCACAATTTTTCGCAAAAATAACAAAACACTTTAACACTCTATGCTTTCCTTCCTTTTTATGGATTTCATCTATTCTCATGACTATTCAGACACCAATACTACTACGACAAGAATTTTGATTCCAGATCATTTTTCGTCCTTAATTCTTGCTCAATTATAAATTTTTATTCATGATTGCAATTGATAAGTAAAGCTTTGTGTTTCATTAAAGATAAAATTTTTACATGTCATATTTAATCCCCGGTTCATCGTGTTAAACGTGACAGCAGTTAAAGCTCTTGATAATACCAAAAATTTTCTAACCATTTGAATGAAAAATATTGCTTTAATTACTCTTCTCAACTATTTCAGTAGAGGATTTAGTTGGTATTTATCTCCAATATTCAGTTTAATTCCATGCACAATTTCGAAACCGTAATTATGTAATGTATATGAAAACTGTTAGTTGGTAATGTAGTAGTAAGTCGTATTCCTACATTTATAAAAAGTTTGAAAGCTCTTACATACATATAAGACATTATGAAAAACTGCTTGTAGCTTTGCAAATCCCTTAAATCTTAAACATAATATACCCCATGAAATTATTATCATTATAGAATCGAGCAAAACTGCAAATTACAGATGTATTTAAAGTGAAGCTGATGAGAAAAAGCAAGCACGACAATGACCAGCCCTACATCTCAAGAATATCGAGGATTTAGCATCCCCACCAAAGTAAGTTTATGTTCATTCAATGAAATAGGAAATTACCATTAATAAATGAGGAATTGGAAAATTTAAATTATATACCAATATTAAATCCTAAAACTTCACTTATCTTCATCTGCAATTCTTGTTTAACGTGAGTTAAATCACATCATGTGCCATAGATTGTGCATAAAAATCAAATCCTATCATATAAACAGTATATTCAACACAACACTTTAATAAGAAACTGGTTGTTGCCTTCTCATTTGTAATTAACATTGATATTAGTTAGTCAAACTGCAATTTTGATCACTAAATTTAAGGACGCAATCACATTAGTGCGCGAACTATTTGAAAGTAATGGAAACTGTTTTAGTAGATCAATATTTAAAAAACATGTCCCAGTGTTATTCAAAAATTCGCAATGTCTAATCCAGTTCGTTTTCTTCATGAATTTTCCAGTACAGCACTTGCAGCGAAGGACGTGGCAGTTTTGGCGGTGGAGTTGTCAAGACACCACTTCAAAACACTATAAACACACAGAAAACCAGAGCTAGTAGAACTTCACTTGGAGGACAGGTTCATTATTGTATTACTGGCAACTAACAATTCCGAAGGCTTGTGATATAGACCATCTAATTTAATTACCCCTGAATACAAATTACTTTCCATGTTTATTTTATATTTAAAGCACAGAAATCTAACTTTAAAAAGATTTAGGTGCAGATCTTACTTGAAAGCAAGTTTCTGTATTTTGAGATGGATAAATTAAAAAACCTCATTGTCACTGATGAAAAGTAAGAAATTTCAATGATCTTTCAATCTAATCAATGATAACTTTTAAGCTGTTCCTATGCGTGATAGGGTCACTGCTGAGCTTTAGCATATGCATCTGGTTAACAGCATTCAGTCACGATATTCAATGGAGAAGACTATTGTTCGCCGCCGGTGCTGCATTATGCGCATTACTTTTTGCCATGCTTGCTGTGCAGACTATTCGAAAAGCAAAACAGTAAATATTTTCTAAGAATTATACTAAACTAGCACTTTATGAGTTGTGCGAGACAAAAATCAGTTGGTAGCAAAATTGCACAAGATATCTTCTAAAATTGTGTTGATCATTTACCTTTGGATAAAAAAAAGAATGAATAGTTCTTAAACAGCGCCTATTTTTGACTCAATTGCAGTCAATAAATTTAAGCAATAACAATTTTGCTATGGCTTTGTCAGCAACGTAAGTAAAAAGCACTGGCTATGTATAATACGCTGCTAAATGATCTCATGATTTTGTGATCAAAAAGAACTATTTATCAGATCCTAAAATTATGCAATAGCAAAGCTTCTATTCTCCATTCAGAAACTACTAAAACTACTTCATTTTCTCTCATTATTCACCATCTACTTTAGACCACTTCTTGTACCAACTGTGCCAAACCTGGCAGTTCGACGCTCAACTATTATGAGGACATCCAGGAAATCAATGTATGAGAGCGGTATAAACCGTGAAGAAAGTAGCCATGGGAAGTTGCAAACAGAATCAAAAACAAGCGACCGTACCACATTCACGCCCATCGAGTAAAAATTATGCACTTAATTTTTCAAAGAATGAAGTGAATAAACTAAATATGATTGATGATAAAATGAAAAAAACTAGTCCTCACGTAATTAGTACGAGTGATTAAAATATCATGTGGATGAAAAATTACGCTTGGTATCGCAATTTTTCTATTTTTTTATTTAGACGATTCGTTATGTTAGTAGTTCTGAAAGCTTTTTATAGATGTGTGAATCACAATCTCTTTTTCTTCTTGCATGGAAATGTAATAAATCATATCATTTTATTTGCAAATGCTTCCGCCGAAAACTATTCTGCTTTTTCTCACATCTGTTACAAGAATACTGTGAGGGAATTGATTTCTTTACTCGAAAAACACTTAAACTTAGGTGAAATTAAAGCCACGACAAATTATTCTTATATAAATAAAGATTACTCAATAATTCTCTCAATTCGTGCACATGTTGCATTCTTCTATAGTATGTAATTTTTAAATTTCGTTCTTTACACAAACTGAATGAGCAACTCAATCTAATCATACAAAAGCAGTAAACTATTTGCAACGCTTTCATTAGAATGCAAAGATGTCAGACTGACATATGCAACTTGTTCCATTATGTTTTCTCTTTTACTACTGGAGCACAGCAGATTCCCATCTGCACTATAAGTCACCAATGAATTAATGTTGCTTATAAAAAGTTTTTATTTTCTATTGCAATATTTTAGTTTTGCTGTGAAAGAAGAAACAATGCTTCGTTCTTTTACTTCGTGGTGTTGAATATTAATCTGATAGAAAAGTCACATTTCTGCACATGTGATTCTTTTCATTTTTTTCTCTGCGATCTGTTATGAGAGGAAAAAAACTTTTTTTAAGTGATCCGCCAGATTGATTAATTAAAAAAAGATGCTCAACGTCAATGAGCTTTAAATATTTGTAAGGATGAGTTTTTGGATTACTAAAGATTACAATATCTTTATTCGCGAAGAGATATAGCTTGAGAATATAGCAGACTAACTCTGAGAAAATAAGATCAATATGAATAATGTATAGTCTTCTACTGTAAACAGAAGAAATTAATTTTAAACAGTAGTTGAAAAACTTGAAAATATGCATAGGATATTCTTTAGGAATATCAAAAGAACAGATATTTTAACTACTTATATAACATATTGAGCAAGAGTAGTTTCCTAAAGTTTTGATGGAAACTGCACTAAAATGATGAGTGCCTGATTGACAAGGAAAATTACACCTCTGAATGATTGCACAACTTTCAGGAAACAGTATACATGTGCAGAAAATCATATTTATGAACGTAATATATAGAAATCTGTACTCGGTTTTCTGAATGTTAAAGTGAGGAGAGGAAATTTGGTGCGGACTAGACTTTTAAATGAAATTCAGAGTCATGAAGGAAATTGATATGATGGCAATAGATACAAAAGATACGGCAAATGTATTTCGAAAATTGCGTTAGCAGTGGATTGACTTTTACCAAAATGTTAACAAGACAAAATGAAGGATTAAGACTGGAATTATGTATTGTAAAAAACTAAGCTTTCTAGTAAATACGTCGAAACATTTAACTTTGATAGAAATTCATCAAAATTTAAGTAATTTAATCGTAATTTCTCGTAATACTTATAACAGATCAGAAAACAAAAGACAAACTCTTTTTAACATTACAAATAAAACCATTTGGATAACGAAATATTTATTTCAAAACTATTCGTAGGAGCAAAAAACGTGACTAAACATATCATTAAGGATACACAAATCCTCAAAAATTCATTAATTGCAAAGTAAACCTTGTTATTTTCGTCAATCCCAGCCATTGTATTACGCAATTCAGAAAGATGTTCCATGATGTAAAGCATCTTTGCATGACACCCATCAATGTGTTCACCAATCAAATCTCTTTTATCAGAATCTTTTTCTTCTATATAATCTTCCTCCTTCAATAAGAATTAAATCTTTGTGGCAGAAAAATCCACGCGTTTGACTAATAAGCCATTGAATAAGATCGACCATATATCAACAATAATGCTTTGACATGATTTATCTAAATCTTATCTATTTGTGTAATATTCCAAAAATATCAAGTTTTGAGCGCTTTCAAAGTCATTAATGAATTTTTAAATCGTATTACATACTAGTCTTCCAATCTCTTCATTTAATGCATTTTTCTCGGTTACAGCCTTTTCTAATTCATTTTCGAGTTTGGTGATTGTCTGACGCTGTATGATTCTTTGACGAAGCTGCAAATATCAAGTAAGAGAATTTTTACTTCTTAATAAGTTTGAAAAATAAAAAAATGGAAAGCATATAACATAGCATTTCAATCAGTGAATCGAAAAACCAACAAGCTTCTCAATTATCATCCATTTTGCTTTGACCTTCATTTCCACACTTGTTCGAGATGTTGGACGTTGAGCTTGAGGCAAATGTAAATTCCGCTGTCTTTCACTTTTACGACCAGAATTATGCTAAATATTGCATATCTCGTGAATTGTTACCAATAATAAATCTGATAAAAATCGAACATGTTTATGAACAAAGCATACACTGGCTTGGCGGGATAATTGACGCAAACGGCCTACTTCATTGAATGATTTTTTCAAAGCTTCTTCTCGTTGACGATCTTTATTCTGCAGTTTTTGAATTATATCATCTTTCCTTCTGAAACTTTGAATTTTTTATCAACAGCAGATAGTTCGAATTTAATAATCTTCAAAGAAAAGAGAATATTTTTTATTCACTGCTAACGAGTTCAAAATTAAAATGTAATGGGAAACAATGTTTATATCATGAGCAAAAGCAAGATCTAATACTGGACGAATGGAATTAGAAGCAACCTTGCTTCTTTTTCTAAGCCAGCTATCTTCTTCATAATGGATGTTTCATGAGATTTTGCACGATTGCTTTCCTCCTTGATTTTTCGCAAAAGTGTAGCCTACAAAAAAAGTACAAATCTTCGACTGAAATGTTTCATTTGCATTAGATTTACAAAAAAAGTGGCATCAAGAGAAGATTTGAAAATTGCTGTAGCAAACCATACGAGGACCCAATTTCACCTTAGCTTTTTTTAGCTCATTTAATTCGCTTAGAATTCGTGAGCGTTCTAATTCTTTTGCAGCTTGCTTAGTTTGCATCTTCCGATGTTCACGTTCAATAGATTGCAATTTCTTAAATTCATCTCGCATTGTAGCAAGCTTTTTTTCGTAATCTTCGCGTATTTTACGAACATGATTTGTGTCAACAACTTTCTGAGGCTGTTTTGATGCTAAAAACAATCATATAAAAACAAATAAACTGGTACAGTGAATGATTAGATGAGCAAGAACTTTTCCGATACATTAGAACCATTTCTATATAACAGCTGATATTTCAAACCAAGAAGCAAAACAAAAATAAAATATACATAATCTCTTCTTCATTAGCATACAAATCTGATTTAAGTAAATAATAATAATATTATTATTGCTTACTATTATTATTATTTTTATAGCTACTAATATTTATCATTATTATTATCCATATTATTAATTCTACTGTTATTTATTACCACTAATACTACTATTAATATTATAAATACTTCTATTTATTATCTAACATTATTTTTACTTACTGACATTATTATTTACTATTATTATTACTTAGCCATTATCTTAATAGAACTCAAGTCTCTACCCATTTCAGCCAGCACTCGATCACGTTCAGCTTCCATTTCTTTTATACGTAAAGAAAATTCTGCTATTTTTCTTTGATACATAAGTTGAACCTTAAATTGTTAGGTTATATGAAATATAGTATGAAATAAAAAGAAAACGTGAAAAGTTAAAAAGTGAAAACTGAGACATAAACCTCCGCAAGACGGCGCTCGCTATGCTCTAATTTTAGAATTAAGCGTTCTTTGATAGATATTTCTGCTTGTAATTCAGCAAGATCATCTCCCAGCTTGAGACACTCTGGAAAAACTACTTGCATGACTTTTCATGATAGCAAAAATGAATGGTTTAATTCCTTTAAGAAAAAAACATGAATTCTCTGAAATTTCAATCCAAGCTAAAGTGAAATGCTTAATAGAAGCGATAAAAATTGAGTTTATCATGGAATACCAGCTTCTGCTTCATTTTCCACTTCAAGATCTTCATCCTCAATACCCTTAAGTTCCTCAACATCACCATCAGAATCGGAGTTAACTACCATAATACTAGTTTTCATTGTATCATCTTCATGATCTGTCAATTCACTATTTGTTCTGTCGCCCTCATGTGAACCTTAAATGAATCATTGAGATGATTGGCTTCAACACTGTGTTAAGAAAAGGCAGTGAAAAAAGTTTGAAAACAAGTGATAATTAAGTTAAGGCACGAAATGTCATTCTTTTTAAAATGTTGTTACATGAAGCAGAGAACTGACTTTCAGTGATACTTTGTTTCATACGTTCAACATCTGCCTTTGCTTCTTGAATCAATGATGTAACTGGAGTACATGCAATGACCTTTTCCACATTATCATTCAGTGAGCAGTTGACCACATCTTTATTAGTATTCAAAGTATGTAGAGGTAATCGGAAAGCGTTCTTCGTCGCTTGAGTTTTCCAGTGATTCAGTTGCTGACGCAATTGCTCGTTTGTTGCATTTGATTCCATCAATGAACATCTGAATACTTGAATTTTCATAATAGGACTTAAGTTTTTGATATTGATGTACATTTATAACATGGATCCTAGACTTCTTTAATTTTATAATAACATTCCAAATTTTGAGGACTACAAGAAATATGAAGATCTCAGCAAAGAAACCTTAACGATTCTAGTTCACCGATATACACCCGTATGACGTCACTAAGCCCATTATTTCCTTCTTTTTTCGATTCTATGCTGACATCTCCTACAAGAATAATAATTGGATCAAAAAAAGACAAAGTATACATTTTTCTATAATACCTACCATGAGATTCATGACAATTTTGGTCTCGCAAAATACCCATCTGCGCACGAATTTCACTATTTTCTGCCAGCAGTTGAACATTTCGAGCTGTCAGCATTTCTAATGTTTCCTGCATAGCTTTTATACGAATCCTTAACTGACTTACATCTGCCTAAAAAGTATTTGAATTACGACTGCTTATAAATTAAGACCTAAGAACTATATTCCTCATACTAAAAAATCACTAAAAACTAAAAGTCTACTTTCTACATAGAATAAATCAAACCTTTTATTGCAAAATTCATCTTTTCACCTGGGTCAATGACTGACTTATATTTTTCTAACAAAACCTGAAGGATTTTTTCTGCATTATTTTACAACCTACCATATACTGTACATGATTCTCATCCAGCTTAGACTTTGGGCTATTTAAACACCAACAAAAACCTGTAACAAAACGTTTTCTCTGTACTGATCACTGAAAGACTCGATACCATCCAAAATTTTTATACGTCCCTGCAATAATCATGACTCAGGTATTAATTTATTCAGAACCTCTCATATCTTCAAGTACAAAAATATGCGGTTGCTGTAATTAGGAACTTCATATTTTTCCGTTAAGAATCTGTGCTAAAACGGATAATTTGCACAAAGCAAACCTGTCTGAAATCAAGTAATTCTGCCTCCAGTTCGGCTATACGAGAGCGCAAACGACCAATAACTTTGCTTGACTTGTCTTGATTTGCTATCACCTAAAAAACTGGTTGAAAAAAATAAACAATGTTGTGGATTTACTATTTATTCCAAAAGTTTATAAAAATCAAACAAAAGGATAAAACACCTTGTTTTTGATATTTTTTGCTCGATTTGCATAATTAAGAGTGTTCAAAGTTTCAACATAATCACAATCTGATGGACTGATGCAAGCAATCATAACAGTTCGACTGAAAATCAAATCGTCATTCGATGCAGAGAACTGTTTTATGAAAGCAGTAAATGAGTGCTGAATAGAGTTTTGTCACTGATTGAAATAAATCTTCAGATGATAAATTACAAATGACCTGTTACCACCCAATGAATCCTGTAGCAGGCGCGTCAGCTTTGAATCTCGATATGGTATATACGTTACTTTGCCTGGAACGGGAGTGGCAGTCAATGAACATATTACGTTACCCAGTGCCAACTGAAATTAAGAGTATGACAGCCTTCTAAAACGATATTCGTGATAGAGTGATAAGAGCACCATAAAATTTAACGGATTTGATTTGGCTGGCACAGTGATATGTAACAAAGTCAATACCAGCCCAAAATTGATGCTAATGCCTTCTCTTGCACGATCACCAGTAGCTCCTGAACGTTTCAAACGCTCTGAACCAGCCAAATCAACGAAATGAAATTTTGCACTAAGAAGTTCCAATTCAGTTGTAGAATCTTCATCCTGTGGAGGATTTACGTTATTTTGTTCGAGTGCTCTTTGGGAATCACAAGCCTGGAATTTTAAAATTAACGTAAATTAAATAAACTCCAGTTATTTTTGGAGGAAAAATTTCAATTTAGCAATCATAAAAGATGACACCTTAGTAGCAACAGTTCTCTGCTGCTTGATTATCATTGTGAATATGGCATGCGAACGAGAAGACTGTTTATTCATATTTGTTGAAGCAGTTTTTCGATTCAATGAACCATTTTTCAAAACTTCCAATGTCTAAATTTTTTTTTAAAATGCCTTAAATAAAGTAATTAATAGTGTAAAAAGTACGAATAGCTCTGAAGCATCAAAATAATGAAAACATGAATAGTATGAGATATCTAATAAAACCTGCACAGGATTAGTAACAGCTATTCGTGTAACTCCATTTAAAAAAATTTCGCCTTTAACATCCTCATGAATTCGAAGACCAGTGGGTACTCGCTCATGGCTTAATAAATCGATTATTTCTTCATTGTACAACTAAAAATATTCACTGATTTTTGTATTTTATTAATAAAAGGATGTAATTTCGAAACATAAATTATTTTTTAAAACGTTGAATTCAATTTATAATTGTGCCAGAAATTTTTAAAAGAATACCTCAACAAACTGCGCGACGATATCAAAACATGGTTCCACAAAACCTTGTTCTAATGCTTGTTGCTTACGAGACTCCATTTCAGAAAAAAGATGCTGAATGGCTCGTGGAACAATGCCTATATCGTTTTCATTCATTACATCCATCATATCAAATGCAGTACCCATAGTATAAGTTTTCCCACTACCAGTCTGCAAAACGACAATACTAATATACACCTTATGAGCAATTTATAGCAAAATTATAGTACATAAAGAATTTCAAAACATGCAACTCATTACATAATCACTTTAGCTATAAAAACATTACAACTTGAATGGCAATACAACACTTATGCCTGAAAATGAAGTTAATATACCTGGCCATAAGCTAGAACTGTGGCGTTGAAACCATCAAAAGTTCCCTCGACTAAACCTTTAACACACTCATCGTAAATTTTTTGCTGCTGAGTTCCGCTATCAAAAGCATGATCAAATGTGAAGTTTTTTTGACCACCAATATTAATCTGCAAGCACAAGAAATAAAGCAAAATCGCTAACATTAAAGCCTGATTTCGAAAAAATCGAATTTTTTCCGCTGTAAGACTTATTACGTCACTTCATCTTTTGCTTGCTACTATAAAGTGAAGTTAGAATCACCTGCGAATCATTATGATAAACAGTTGTACATATACGATTTAAATCAGCTTTTTCGCGTTCGGATTGTGGCCTTACTCTGAAAATATGTCAAGTTATTTCTTTATAAAAGCCGTAAGTTTAGACATTTGCGTATTATTTACATGCCAACTTTTATATACCTAAAAAGTCATAATATTATCTTTATTTTGTTCTGTTTTCAAAAAACTAGCACTTGTTCCACAAAAGCACTGAAAGTATGCTGCAAAAGAAGCGACAGATAAAATTTTGTCTCTGCACGAAAGAATTCAAAATTTTTCTGCAACCTCCGTGCTAACACATTTATGATGCTACCAAAATTAGCACTCGTACTTGGCGGTATTTGAGCAGAGGAGATACAGAAATAAAAATCATACCTTACTGCAACGCGTAGAGAATTATCGTCACCCATTCTCCGCGCAGTCTGCCAAACTAGAAAATAAAGGCAGCAAGTAAATGAATGAATATTAGTCAATAAAAAATTATTTAATACTTATTGATCATTGGATGACTAAATGATTAATAATGAACATAGATGCACATTAGGCAAACTAAGAACTTGTATGAATAGGGCAGTAGATAGTCTACAGAGATGTGCTACTAAAGAAAAATGACGTCTGCATAGAGTGACGTAGCGGCTGTAGCATGAATGAATGATTGAATGAGTAAGGTATGTAACGTTAAGTGTGAGTATGAAGAAATAATCGATGAACAAGACTAGAACTGCACAAATAATTCATTAATTACTGCAAGTTCGCTTAGTTTTCTCATGTATTTGCTGTCGCATTACCGAATTCAATGCCAATATAATTGCATACTTAACCTAATCCAACATAACAAGTATAACTGTATAAGCAAGTAAGAAGAACGGTAACGATAAGTGAAGTATATACTGTAAATTGAGTTCAGAGAGAAACTGTCAGCACTTTCGTTTTCACAAATGATATTTCCCCCCATCTGGTCTGGTATACCTCCTCTGCAAACTATATTCTATCGTTTGTTTCTTTTCTACTACCATGAACTGGTTTTTATTTTCTTACACCGCCTAAAATCAGTCTTTTCTTTTTCTTCTTCATGACCTTTTGTTCGTTTCGTAGTTGACATGCTCTTCAAAACTAGTAATTTGTCTGTGGCTCAGTCGAAATTGTAATTACCATCTGATAGTAGTGGTGATGCATTCCGTAAATACTAAACGAGTCACTCTTGTAAAGGGGAAAAAATTTTCATAATTTTTCATATTCTTCTCTCAGACAATACTGACTGTCTCATGAAATTGCTAGTGGTATCATTTCTAGTCGATACTGTGAAGCTAATTAGGAAACAAACAGCTGTTATTTAAATAGTCAAATATTGCGGAAACCATTAAAATAACCATTTTTACATTTCTTTAACAGACGCACACATCATATATATATAAAGCAAACTGACGAGAAATGTAGCAAATTGGATGGAATATGATTGCATGCAAGTGCTATTATCCATATATGCTATAAAAAAGCACTATATGATCAAAAATTGTTAATATTAAATTTCCTACCTTTAAGTACGACTACTTAAGTAATTACTTGCTAGCAAACTACTGTTTCACTCTTGCATAGCAGACACATTGTATTATGATTATTACTATTATTTCATTTCATTCTAAATGTCAAATGTTTTTACTAAGGATTACGTATCACTGAATTATGTTAGCATTTAATCTTGCACTGAAATATGTTACTTTATGATTTAGGATTTATATCGTTAGCTAATCATGTATGATGTAGCTGATCATCGCAAATGTTACTGTACAGAAAAAATATATAGTCAGAAAAAAAATGGTAAAAATTAGCCTTTTTTAGAACAGTTAAAAATGATTACTACTTTGCATTGCTGTAATTGTTCAGCTTTATCATCTTCTTTACATAATCTCATATATATTAAAGCTTTCAAGTACTTCACATTGACTTTATCCTTACGTATTACGAATGACAATCAGTAATTAATTGCTAACGTCAAGACTAAAGCTGAAATAACGAAAACTGGCAGATATGAGAGAAAATGAGAGAAAAGCAATGAATGAGTTTCAATCCATCGTATCAAGAAAGAAACGATGTGGAAAAATCGTAAATCAAGAAATTTGGTTCAAACTACCTTCAAATTTGAGAGAAAAAGAGATAAAATAATCTGTAGACAATATTAAAACATTCTTCGCTGACAGTCTCACAGACATTTTATTCCCCAAGAATAACTCTCACCAAAATCGCCTGCTGACATCTTTGCTACTGAAATTTAAAAAATCACAGTTCGAAGAGGACAGTAAATAAGTCTGACATAACATCTCAGTTGTTACACTCCCAAAATCAATAATCAAAAATACCATTTAACCAAACACATTTTTTGACTAATATTTTTCGAAATATCCTCCGCAAATTAAGCACGGAAATTGCTACAGCTTGATATTAATTAAACAGTCCTATCAATTATTTGGCAGTTGAAAAACACAGTTATCTCCTGTCTTATGAAGTTTAAATTCAATGATATTCCAAATTTCTTAATTACTGATAATATTGATCAAATCTTGAAATAGAATATCAAATATGCTTCCGGAGAAAACGGAAGAACAACAGAAACTGCGTTAGGTTTCAACAAAATTTGGATACTAAAAAGGTATTTCCATAACATAAATTTCTTTTTAATGGGTCAGTGGAGGGCCATTTCATACCTACAGGCTTCATTTTTTTGACACATTTTAATAGATATTTCAATTTGCAATATCTTACGCACATTTACAATGAACGCAAAATAATGCGTTGCATTTCGAACATTTCAAGAACAAAAAAATCATTAGAAGAAGGGTTAGATTGAAAATGCTGAGAAGAATGTGCACAGCTTTTCAAATGATAAGTTGAGGAAGAACAATAGAAACGTTTGAAACACTGGGTGCAATGTTATGTATAATTTTGATTTTTTTAAATGTTTTTTATGTAAAGCAGATCTTTCAAAACGACAATGAAGCGAATAATAAAAAATACGAAAAAGTTGATGAACAATCCAAAAAAGTTCAAGTGCAAAACTAGTTCAGGTGTGAACTTGAAATAGATGCAGCAGTTGTTGTCTGATTGTGCTGCCATCTGTAATTACTTTCCAAAGTATTGGATTGAAATACGTTGTATGAACTAACTTTGAACTTGTTTTAAATGTGATTTTTAAAAAAGTACTTTTTTTGGTACTGCTTTATAATTTGCAATCGTGATTTAATGACTCGACATGACAGTTTATTATATTATTATTAGATACAAAGCATAAGTAATTCTTTGTTCATGAAGCACATATGTTAGCATTTATTCTTATACTGAAATATGCTCACTGAATGCAAAAAATAAGTTATCAATGATTCGACAAATGCCTAAAAGCCAATAAACTGCTTACATTATGTAAATAAATCATTGATTTTGTAATGAGAGTTGAACTAAGTTTTTATGATCGAATTTTTAATGCATGCTTGATTTAGTCCAATTTTCCTCATACTGCTGAATCATTACATTTTTTTCGATGAAAGTAATACAATTAACTAGCAAAGTTAAGCTGATTAAAAATTTTTTCTAAAAACTATGCATAATTTTGAAATTACTTTTTTCAATAATTTTTTGCGCAATCAATAAAATAAACTCGTGCTAAGAGGCATGCCTTTATATGGATTTTTGACTTTTTTCGGACTTATGTTGGGAATGATTCAAGTTTTGAATACTTTTTGTAGCTGCATTAAGGGTTTGCCACTTTTAATATTATTGATTTAATATAATTAATCTCAATGAACTAACTTGAAATTAGCTTCAAGAAAATGTGCTACGTAAAATCATAAATAATTTGCTTGCATTTTAGAATTAACTACTCGATGATACAAGGAAGTTAATCTGTTTTAGTGGTAAATGATTAATGAAAAATAGAAAGAAACAGAGAAAATGATTATACAGCATTTACATCCGGCAAGTCATAAAGCAATGTTAGAATATATTATTCAGAAATGTTTTAACATAATCCTAGAGTCATCATCATTAGCATCTTGTGATATATATTTTACAGGATGCCAAATTTTTTTGCTGTTTTTGATTACATGTAAGATATAGTTGCCAAATGGTTATACTAATTTTATGTGACCAGTTTTTTCTGCATTTACATATTTTTGTTCTGTTTCGACAATGTACAAACGCTATAATTATTGACGTAATTAACTTGTTTTGCGAAAAGTCTTGCTTAGTGCTGAGTAATTTCTTCAACTGCTTGACGTTAAAAATCAACCACGTTAGCATTCTTGATTGACGCATAAGCCTAAGGAAAATGTTCAGTAAATCTAAATATTACATATTTTGATGATTTTCATTTACCCCATACAAAGATAAAAATCTAGGAGTAAGATAGCTAGCTAGCTAAGCATGCAAAATGCATAATTTAATTTTCAGGAAAAACTGTTATTTGAGATCACATTTAATTTTTGAAAATGTTGAAAAGTTAACTATTATATTTCAATAAAGTTTTAGTAACTGCTATGAAGCTGAAAAAAAAGCGACAAAAAAAAAACAAAGCCATGGCCATATACATCTGAGCACACTTCTTTAAATGTTAAAAATGGACTCGTGAAAATATATGACTGTAATTTCAAATATTGATAATTATATCGATGTAATATAGCGAGATTAACTAATTCAATTCCGTAGTTAAATAAGTGATACTACATTAAATGCAACTTTATAAATGACTAATTGTAGTAAATGTAGTAGTATTGTGCAATTATTTAACTCATAAACCCAATAGATTTGTATATACATCATCAGAATTCATTTTAGAATAAATAACATGCGATAGTAATTGATGAAAATCTTTTCCTTACTAAAATAGAAGTGAGTGGGGTTGAAATAATGCATGGCACAGTGCTTCCCTGGCACTGACATTGCAGAAACAAGAAGCAGTACTCATTTGAGCGTTTGTCTGCACGATCAAAATTAAGATTTTCAGCGGAAGCACTGTTTTACGTCAATTTTTCAGATAACGCATTAATCTTTTGAGAATGTATGCAAAGTTGAAAGAGAAAAATTCTGATTTAACTCAGTCGCATCATAAACATACGACAGATATATCAAATATCAATATTTGAACAAAAAACAGGAATGAAAAGCGTGCATTGCGCTTAGTCCATTCTTTTTTTTCATATCTTTCTCATTACTCTGCTGAGTAGTAATACAATCAATCTTTAATTATATATAAGGAAATATTGTCAAAATTACATGATTAATGTATACAAGTATTGAATTTACATTACATTTTCACGTTTAATTTGTAAGTGAAGAAAATTTGCATAATCGCTTTTCCAAATAGTTAATATTACTTGAGAAAAAAGTGAAAAATTTTTAAATGTAGTGAGATAAGACATCATCATGACTTGTCGGTATCTTTTTGCAATCATAATTTTGAAAATGTATGTCATTTGCTTCCATAAACACAGTGTTTTGCAATAATAATTATTTGTGCGACAGTTATTAACAACAATTATTAAATGTTAAAAGTAATCAGAAATAACAAATTTTTCATAATGATGCATCTACGAAAAAAAATTGAATTGCTGTATCATTTTTTCAATGCTCTACTTCAAATATCTACCACTTCAATAATTTTTTTTTTAAATTCTGAACGTGACCAACACGCAGTACCAATTTGCGAATATGATAATGTTATGAACTGATTTGGAAAAAGTTGAATTTTAGAACAAACAGTTGCTTCTCTGGACTACTCTAATAAAATATTGTTTTTCAGTAAATGATTTAGTTCAATGAAGTCAATTTATTACAATCGAAAGTTGTTTTTTAACATCCAAAATTTATTTCACAGTGTATGTTTTATATATTAGCAATGCTCACTAAGTGATAATATAAAGTATACAGAAAAAATGTGGATGGTAATCTGTTCAGAACAGATATTGCGTTAAAACATGTGCCTATGCTATACGCATAATGCTTTACTCTTAAATAAATGGTTTGAATTCAAAATAATACATGGCTTAATGACTTTGCAGAAATTTTCCTTCTAACAATAACAGTATTGCATAAAATTAATATGTGTGGACTACTTGCCATGTAATAAAATTTATCTTAACAAAGCTGCTGCATTATCATGCGATTTCGGATGAAAATGCAACATTTTCTGCGTATTAAAAATTTTTTGGCGTCTAATAGCACTTTTCACGGAATTTGTTACTTATTTCAAATTTAATTTTTAGTAAAATCATAAATCAAGCATGAAAATTTCTTGTGATTCTAATGCTGATGCAATTTCTGGAAGCAGTAAGAGAACTATTTTGAAACTAAAATATTTAAAAGTCTGACAATGCATTTTTTCTTTCTTGAGTTTATTGTTAGTAATTGACAAAAAATAATACTTGTTGAAACCATTTCGGTTAATCGTATTTTCAGATGTTTGTAGCAAAACATTGGTTGAGATTTATTTGTTGGTAAATTCCAATTATCGATATACATGCTGGCAACAATGATTAGAAGGATGAAAATAAAAGAAAACAAAAGCAACTGATTGTACGAACATCATCCATCTGCCAGTTTTCCATCTTGAGCATCTGAAATTTTTTATCTTTCAATGATGCTAAAAGGAAAATATTAGACGTTTTTTTACATGAAATATATTACGAGATTACATAATACATGCAAAATAAGTAGAACAAAATTGAAAAAATAAGTGTTCCAAAGCAAAATATTCATTATTTTGATGATTAGTAAATGCTAAATTTTTACTATTTAATGTTCAAAAATGCAATAAAATAATTTTAATCTTTTTTTAAACAAAAAAACAGGAAGGACTGAATAAATACTGATGAGGTAGATTTATCACTGCAATTAGACAGATATTTCTAAATTATTTTTGCAAAATTCTCATTTTAGATCTTTATTTTTTGAACATTCAGTGTGTTGAATGAATTGTAATGGAAACTTCAGTACTGCCTTCCTAAAGAACGCAAGTTGCATGAATATGCAAATCATCAATACTTTGCGATTGATGAGTTGCATTTAGATGAAATCAGCAAGTAATTTTTATATGAGTTTGTGTTCAATAATTTTTAAGCTATAAATTATGCCATTATGAAGTAATAATCGAAATCAATGTTATTTGAGGCAAAGATGATAGATCTGATAGTTATAAAATGATAGTATCTGTGGTCCTGAAGATGGACTTACTGAAATACATTATGACAAAATGTCAGTAAGCACTAAAATAATTAGTAGAATATGGGAACAATATTGTCTTAAACTAGTGAGTAGTGTCTAATATTTTTTTGGTAACAGCCAAAGTGGCTTATTCACTTCTTAGCACTATTCGAAGTTAGCATTGTAAAATAATGGTTGTGGCTATTCTCCATCTTTCTTCATAATCAGTGCTCCACAAGCGTCATTTTTTAGAATTTAAAATTCACTGAAATGCAAAATACGAAAATTTAAAACAAAGACAAAAAAAGTATCTATTTGCCATTACTTCAAAATGAATTAATGCATTAGCGTTTTATAGGCGTCAACTATTTATCAAATTACGTAATGCTAGCGAATTAAATGCTGAAAATGAAACTGCAGCAGTCATTTTCTTGAGATAGCCAAAATGCTGAAATGAAAATATTCAAGCAGAGTATTAGTAAATCTTTACAACTTTCACTTTTATTATATTTGAGAGATTTTGTTTGCTATCTTGCAAACAAAAAATAAAATGTTCTGAAAAACTTACACTGCACAATTTGCTCTCAAACGTTACTCAGCAAAGGCAACAGATAGTATTCATGACATTTTTTTGCCAAGAAGCTGACAAGAAAAAATGCTCACTCATTTCATTTCTTGACAAAACATATACCTTGCATAGCCTGATTTCAAAGCACTTCATTCAATGAGTAAATAAACGCTAAAAATTTGAAAACTGCATAATCGCTATCGATTAATATCAATATTTTACCAGATGATTATCAAAAGTTCTTTTTTGCATAAATTCTTATATTGCTCACATGGCAATATGATGTTATATTTGCATATATTTCGATAAATTGAGCAACAAAATTATAGATCATATGATTATATCGTGTAATATTAATGCTGTTTTAAAACGAATGGTTTTCTATTCTGTATCAATGCTTATCATTTGCTAAAACTTTTTTGCAATAAGTGATTGTTACGTTCATACGGTTTAGGACTGATATTGAGTAATACATAGTTGATTAAATTTTAATCATGAAATTTTTAACAATCATTAATAATGAATTCAAATCTAATAAATCAGCAAAATTAGTGTTGTTCTCTATAAGATTGCATAAGATCATGTAATCTAGTTTCATATTTTTTAAGACGTGTCGTACTTTTTATCGGTCCTTGTTTAGAAACGACACTCAGTATTCCATTCTTAAATTTGTTTGAGTTAAAAACTCAGACAAGTTAAATAAAGTGTGAATTAAGTAAATAAATAAGTAATTGAACATACATTACAGAATTTTTACAACTATCATATTAATATTGCTTTCCAAATTCGATAATTTAAAGAAAATAAACAAAACTAATGTAAAAAAAAAAAAAAAAAA